GAGAGAGAGAAGAGAGAGAGAGAGAGAGAGAGAGAGAGAGAGAGAGAGAGGAGAGAGAGAGAGGAGAGAGAGAGAGAGAAGAGAGAGAGAGAGAGAGAGAGAGAGAGAGAGAGAGAGAGAGAGAGAGAGAGAGGAGAGAGAGAGGAGAGAGAAGAGAGAGAGAGAGAGAGAGAGAGAGAGAGAGGAGAGGGAGAGAGAGAGGGAGAGAGAGAGAGAGAGGGAGAGAGAGGAGAGGGAGAGAGAGAGAGGGAGAGAGAGAGAGAGAGAGAGAGAGAGAGAAGAGAGAGAGAGAGAGAGAGAGAGAGAGAGAGAGAGAGAGAGAGAGAGAGAGAGAGAGAGAGAGAGAGAGAGACTTTAGGCCTCGGGACAACACATGTCCAAACTAACTACATTTACTATGTACCGTATCTACTTTAACCAGCATATTAATTTGTATTCATCTGCAACTAAAAACGTAAAGAAACCCTAGAAAAGGAATAAATATGTAAATTATAACGTCGAATTAAATTATTATCTAATCTACAGTACCTACATATCTCTCATATAACACTAGATTGGAATCTTTCCATAAAGTATTCTAGTCCTATAGCTACTGACGTCATTGCACAATTCATAACAAGTACTAAATGAAAATGGAAAAAAAAAATGACAGACACTGAATGGGGACTATGGAGATTATTACGTACTGGTCGGGAGCCACAGAATAAATAAAAGGTTGAGAACCATTGCCTTGGAATCAATGTGCAAGTCTAACCTCGTTTGCAAGTGAATCGAAAAATGTTAAGAGGGATTTTATATTTGGGAAAATCGCCACCGGGGTTCATAGACACCAGGAAACATTGATACCACATAGGTACCAGGTAACATCGGCACTGGGGACCTTAGACAACTTACAGGTACCGAAAGGGATTGGAACCGGCGAACACCGGTGCGCACCGGGAGAAGGAAGTTCTCGCGCATCGTGCATCTGGAAAAGAGTACGGACTTCACCGAAGCCTAATGCTAATGTACCTATTTCCATTATCAAGAAAGTTATAATGGAACACAAAACGTTGCTCGCCATAGAAGAACATTCTAAGAGTGACTCTCCCTTCGCACATCAAAGAAATTTCGCATAAAATGATACGATTTTGAGATATATTTCGAACACATCTGTATTGGTCTTATCTCGTTACTCTCTGTTATATCTGTGTCTTCAGATTCAGTTTTTCCGTATTGTTCATCATGTTTGTTTTTTTCGTTGATAATCCTTTGTTTCATGATAATTGATTTTTTTTCAGATTACAATTACCTACTGGGCGTCATCAATTGTCTATGATAGTTCGGACAAAAATTTAAATTAGCAGGCCTTTTTACATTTTATTTTGATTACTATCTTTTAGCATCATCGTATTTCCAACAGTATAAACGCCATGATTATTCCAACTAAATAGACCTTAATCGCCATTTTTTTCTCGGATGATTTCTTTGAGGAATCCCAGAAATCCAGATTTCAATTATGTGGAAGAAACGTTGATGCATCTACAGAATAGTTGGATACTTTACTGACATTTTTTTGTATTTTTAACTCATTATTAGTTGCACATAAGAATGCAACGTAGTAGCTGAATTAAAACAATATTCATGAGATCCATATCCGTCTCTAGATCTGTAATCAGACAAGATATGATTGAGTAGAATATGATTATATGTTATGACGAAGGTCATTATAATAATAAATTAGAATAATCTATAGTACCTATACCCACCGTTAGATAGTGAAATGTCTGTCAAAACGAACTTAAGTTTTCGATAAATTGTTTAAACCAAAGAATTTGCAAGTATTGTGTAAACTCAAGCATCTTACCAGTCTGTATTCCCGTTTTTGTAAGCAAACACCAACACATATTTGCTGTGCTTTACAATACTCTGATTTCAATATTCGCAAAACATCTCTTATGAACAGAAAAAATGTAAATCTTACAATGTCACAACGAGAAACATTTAAAAAATCCAGATGATAGAAATTGTTGACATAGAGATGGTGTACCGTACCGGAGGACTACCGTACTTGACAGGAGCTCTACTAGTAAACAAAAACGTACGCACGAACACACCGTCGCACGTCAAGCAATCCCCGAGATAAAAAGCACTGGCCAAAAAATGAGAAAAAATGTGACTTGGGTGTCAAATGGGGGAGGGGAGATTATTTGGGAGTTGTGTCATTTTTTAAAAGGGCAGGAGTGAAGTGTGCTCGTGACAGGAACTGACGTTATTTATTAATATTGAATGGGAGTTTGGGCTCTGAAAGGTCAAGTTGGAGGGTCGGTCATTCTGAAAAGTTTATGTGTGAGGTAGGTCGTATTTGAGTCTTGCTGTGTTGAAGAACGGGAATGTAGATCCAGACTGTGAAACAAATGATCCAGACAGTGAAACAAATGTATTTCATTATGATTGCATCATCAGTGACTGGGGTGAGAACCAGTATCATCACGATTTAGACTTTATTTATTAATGAGGGTGATGCACCCTCCAGAAATGAAGTGCCAAAACTAGGGTATAAACTGAACTCAAATATCCAAACTAAATCTTTCCTACTTTCTGTTTATTCCCTAAACAGGGGGGCAAGCCCCCTCTGTATCCCCCCTTTATTAGCACTTAGTACCAACTTAAGCTAGGGTTATGCTAGGGTCCTCTGTCCTGGGATCCCTAGACAGCCTCGCCGAAGTCAGGTCAGCTAACCAATCAAAATCTGTAGCTGACCAGACTTCGGCAAGGCTCAAGAGATCCTAGGACAGAGAAGACTAGTGTGACCTTAACTTTACAGAAAATGTGACATTAACAGCTTGTGCTGTGTGAGGGTGTTGTGGAGTACTTGATTTGAAAATAAAGCTCAAGGGAGCCAAGCAACTTTTTTACATGTATATGAAGGAAGTGTCTCGGCCTTTGCTACAGGTATATGGACAGGTACCAAAGATAAAGAGTGGTGTGAAGCCAATGGCAGGTACTTAGATGTCTTCTAAACATTTACATGCACTTAAGTATTAGGTTCAGTATGGCTCAGAGAGCTCCTATCATGAATGGGTGAATATTTTAAGTAATGTTTGCACAGTTAATCTGTGATATATGAATGTTTATTTCAACCAGGTTTTGCTTTCATTTTATAATCCTTTTTTCTATCATGTTAATAAGAGTTTCTTGTGGGTTATAGGATATACTTTCAATCAGGGAATTGTTCAAGATAATTGGTAAAGTTACTGAGAACCACACGCAGAGATAGAAGGAAATGGGCATTGCCATCTTAAAGAGTGTAAGAAATAGGGTAAGAAACAACATAGTTTAAGATGCAGTGGCCTCTTATTTACCGGTAAATGACAGAAATGTTTGCTGCGTATCATTGGTCAAAGACTAACAACACCCTCACACAGCCAGAGTTCGTAAGGACTGTTTTTTTTATAAGTTGGCATGAAGTGCTAGTAAATGGGGGTTACCCCCTGTCTAGGGAATAAATAGAAGTTAGGAAAGGTTAGGTTAGGTTTTTGGGTTCATATTATACCCTGGTTTTGGGAATTAGTCTGGATGGGTCTCTCACTCATGGTAACAATTTCCAGATAATCTCCTAAACAAATATTGTTTGTTATTCTTTGGGATATTCAAAATACAGTGGAAGAAAATGAGAGTTTATGAGTAAAGCAGAGATGTACATGTATATTCATACATAAGATTGAAACAATACTTTTTTATTTACTCATTACAACAATGTCATCTTTCTCCAGATGTAAATTTGTTTGAAATGAGGTAGAAATGACGGCCGTGATGAATTTGTCAACACAAGAGGAGAGGGATGCTACTGAGGCCTGGAGCAATGGCTCCTCTTCATCTGGAAATGGAGCAACGGAAGAGGGTAATTTCTGGTACCAGTATAAAGCCCTCATCATTCGTAATTTTACTATCAAGGCCAGAGACCGTCGAAGGACTATAACAGTAAGTAATGAATTCACACATTTTTAGATTTTCTTATGAAGCAGAATTTCAGCTTATTATATATGTTTTCAGTTTTGAAATATACAAGATTACATTCCTTATACGGGTCGTGATTAATGGTGAATTTATTCTGTGTCCCAGGAATTTCTCATGCCCTTATATTGGATTGCAATTTTGGCAATTGTAAGGCTTACGACTGGAAGCACTACATTTGATCCTGTGCTGACACCACAAGGAACAGGTTTTCTCACTGAAATACTGCAAGGAAGGCTAAATGGAGCTACACTCCATGTAACTCCTGAAAATGATAAGGTATAAAAACAATCATATTTTAGTATCCAATGCATACATATGCATTTATACTGTCTGTGTCTAGATTTCATATAGCAAACACCCTAGCATAGTTACAGGGTTGATTGTTCTTTTCAGTGCTCACCCAATTTCCTGTTAGAGATTCAAGTTGATTTCTTATGTGACATGTTACCGTGATTTGTCAAATTTGGTATTAGCTTTGCATTGATAGTTTCTCTGTGTCAGCAAAGTTTTTGGTAGATTACTATTTTTTCTGCTATTGGTATTTTACAAATGTTACTACAGTTACAAATTTTTATTACTGCTACTAATTCTACATATACCACAGTTATTACTGCTTTTACTGTATAGTTGAATTATTTACAATTTCATTTTTATTCTTAGGTAAAGGACATTATGGTCAATGTACAGACTATAGCTGCTGAATATTCCACAATTCTTTATACGCAGTACTACAGCACAGAAGAAGATTTGGTAGATGCATTTAAGTAAGTAGTTCCTGGAGTAATAAATTCTAGTAATTAATAACCTGGAAATTACAGCAAATGGGAAATACTGGAAAGTACTATTAAAATCTAGTAATTGATAACCTGGAAATTACAGCAAATGGGAAATACTGGAAAGTACTATTAAAATCTTATCAAGTGTTCTGTATAGTCAAAACTAATTAATGCAGTCTATCCTAAACCTTAAAAATTATCAAGTGCTGCTTTGTACCATATGTA